GCTCAGGATGGATTTCAGCCAGCAACAGCCTCAAGAGCTGCTGCACAACAGGATGTTTGTTTGCATATCCCTCCAAGCGAGAGGGCTTGGACCTATGCTGATGTTCGTTCCAAGAAGTGAACTGAGGACTGATGCTACGGTGAAAGATTTGCACGTAAATTCGCCCGTGCAATAAATAAAAACGCCCTGTAACTCGCTTACGCTAATCTCACATTCCAATATGCCACTGCACTTTCCTCTCCAGCCTGGCCACATTCTCTTCCTCGCAAACGTACTTGGGCAACTTACAATCCAACACCATACGGGCTTTGGAAACGCGGGCAGCTGCTTCACAAGGACCCCCCTATTTAAGCAGCCCCTCGCAGAAATGTGTCCGGTCGTACTGTGCCGAATAAAGACTCCGTACAAGACGCCCCAAAAGCCAGGCGCGAATTTTACCGCGCGGATGCGCGCGTGCGATTCTCAAAATGGGCGTGTACAAGTGTATGTCAATTTTAGGGCAAAAGGCCGCGGTGTGCCAGGGCGTTGCGCAGTAGGGCATGTTGGCCACAGTCGCACGCGGCATACAGGCTGGGCGTTTGGGTGGCTTCTTTGCAGGAACTGAAAGCACCGAAAGCATACGTCATAGCTTGCAAGACTGGGCTCATGAAACGGCCGCGGGAAGAGGAAGCGTCTGGCGAAGCGGCACTTTTGTGCAAGCAAAAAGACGCCTGCTTTCTGTAGCGCAGCGCATACAGCACCTTGTTCCGACTAAAGTCAAGCTACACACTTACGAAAAAAATTATAACAAACACAGAATTAGGTATATAGATAAAAATCAGGAAAGTCGTTCAGAGACGTGTAAGTAACATGGACGCCGCTGATGGCTTGGAACAGCTTTTCGCAGAGCATACGGCCGTGCCTGCGTTAGCCGTGTTGCAGCAGCTACGGAAGGACTTGAGCCAGCAGCAAGCTCAAAAGCTGCTGAAGAACCACCGGGATTGTCTTCAGTTGGGAACATGTA